AATTATTCCAAAGTTGCCATTACTATAGTTTGATTTGGCAACTCTTTTTTTTTTTTAACATATCTCAGAAATTAGTGAATTAAAACAATGGTTAATTTATGGTTTGGAATGGACAGGTGGATATAGTGTAATTGCTGTGATACTAATAACTTTCGTGAGCTGAGGATAGACCACCCCAAGGGAGAAGGATTTTACATGGATAACTGGAATGGGCTGAGGATAGACCCCCTCGTAAGGAAGAAGGGTTTTACATGCTGTCGAAATTGAGTGCATTGGATGCTCAGAGTGTTTGATGTGACCACAAGGAATTGCTACACCATGCGCTTATATGAGCGTCCCTGTGAAAATCAGCTACACGGAAAGACAACAGTCATCAGGAGATGTGGGAGAAAAAATGAGAAGGTTCTTAGAAAGCAAATAGTAACACAAAACACAAAAACTCATGATCAGTAGGTTCCACTGTCAAACTCCCCAGTCAGTGAAGATTGGGCTGGGAGGATGGCTCCGAGGTCAGTGTGCTCCTCATGCACATATGAGGAGCTGAGACGGGATCTCCTGAGCAGCGAGGTGGGCGTGGCAGTCCATCTGAAATCCCAGCACTTGGAAGGCAGAGACGGCATTCCTGGAGCAAGCTGGCCAGACAAGCCATATCAGTGAGCTCTGGGTTCAGTTGAGAGGCCCCGCCTCAGTGAATCAGGTGGAGACTGATTGAGGAAGACTCTTGACGACGTCAGCCCCCTGCCTCTGTGTGCACAGCAGCTCCCATACATGTGCATACACATACATACATGGATACCATACATTTTGCAAAAAAGGGATGGAAATTGGCAGAATTTGCTTTTAAAAATAACTCAACTGTACACTTGTCCGTGAGAGCCTCACCTTATCTGTCTGTCTGTCGTCTATCATAGCAGTCCCCAACTTGTGAGTAGTGACCTTTTTGGTGAACCTCTATCTCCAAAAATATTTACATTACAATTCACAACAGTACCAAAATTACATTTATGAAGTAGCAACAAAAATAATTTTATGGTTGGTGGTCACAACATGAGAAACTGCATGAAAGGAGAATAACTAGTCTAGCCTCTATCTATCTATCTATCTATCTATCTATCTATCTATCTATCTATCTATCTA